AGAAGATCTATACCAATACAAAACTACTCAGCACGGAAATTTAATAAAGAAAAGGGTGAAAATTTGTGATCCACACTAGGAACCAGAAACGTGGGGGATAAGATATGGATTTGGGGAGAAAGTAATTTTTAGGGGCAACATTCGGGGACATAATCAAAGAGAAAGGGAAAAACCAGCAAATGTGATGTACTAAAATGGAATATGAAGCCCCATGTGCTAGTGACTACACAGTTCGGGTTTTCCAAATGCCCCCCGTGAGAGTAAACTTGGGAGAGAAACATAGCGTATAAAGGGGGAAACCGGACTTCAAAAGAAGAGACAAAAAAGTATAAAATTTTTTTTGGATCGTGCAGTGAGAGAGAGAATAAAAAAAATGAATGAAATTGTTTTCGTACGGGAAAAAAGGGCCGGGTAGCAAGGAGAAATTCTACAGTGCTCAGGAGCAAAAAAACAAGGAATGAAAAGGAGCAACAGAGGGTTTTCACTCAAGATACAATGAGGCAAAAGAAAAAATTTGCAAGTTTGTAAAAGAAGTATAAAAAGTAAAAAGTAGAAAGCAAGGAAGAGAGCAGAGAACTAGAAAAAATATTCATGGGACCGGGGGCACAGCATGACGTTAAACAACAGGTGACCCCGAAGATTTTGGGGAACTTTTTCCCAGCCCTAGGGTCGGAAGTGGAAAGCCCTGGAAAGCAAATGGGAGAGTCAGGATAAGGGTCACCACCACATACTTCAAAGCGGCAACCCCGCAAAAAAAACCCATTGAGTCCAGGCCATGACACAGTACAGGCACATTTCCGGCCAATGACACAGGTACAGGGACATTGCCCAATTTCCTTTAACACCCAGGGGAATAAAAATTAAATACAGCTTCCCATAACAAACCTTGATGCGCCAAGACATTTCCAGTTCCCTTTGGAATTATATATAATATGTATAATATATATATATAATATATATTATAATATATATTATATATAATATATATATATATATATAATATATATATATATAACACACCCGATCTCTCTGAAGGAGCCAACCTTGGGAAAAAGGTACGCGTGCTTTAAAACCCAAACCCCACAGTGGACCAAAACCTTGGAGCCAGCTTGCGCAGACATTGATCCAAGGCAAACCACTTTCAGGGAGAAGGGTTTGTAGGGCGAGCCCTTCAGCCAGAGATATGTTTGTGTATATTTCGCCTCTCTTGGGGAATTTCCTTGCATTGTTAATATCTCTAGTAAGGGTGATGCATGCAAGGGATAGATAAAAGCTGTAACCTTCTCCCTTAAAGCTGGGTGCCTTGGATCAAAGCTACCAAGCTGGACTTTAAGGTTTGGTCCAGTGTGGTAATTGGGGAAAGCACTGCGTACCCTTTTTCCGGGGGTTTGCAGGTTTTTAGTCTCCTTCAGCCCGAGATCATGTTTGTGAATTTTTCCCCCTCTTGCGAATCCTGCATAAATAAATATAAATAATAATATATAAATATAATATATAAAAATATATATATATATAAATATATTATAAAACACTTGGCCGTTCCCACCAAATCCGGTGACCAAAAAGGAAATTTTATTATCATCACTCCCTCCTGCTGCCAAGGCACACCTAACTAAAAAACAAAAAACTGCAACATTAACACCCCCCCTTCGAGGGGAGACACTGTACTTCCCACCTCCAGGACTCAAGTTCGGCCTGCCGGTTTAAACCGAAATTTCCTTTTTATAAATTTTACCCTGCTCACACTCCAACAGAAAGTCAAGTCATAAAAAATTCGCTCCACTCGCTTCTAAAACCCCGAAATTTAGAACCACCTAAAGGGAGGGGCACCCGTTTTTTAAAACCCCTGTTGGCTGGGAATCAGTTTTGTGTAAATCCACAAGTTACCAGATTCTGATAAGTGGGACTCATTGCTATTACCTTTGATATTACCCGCATTTTCAACAAAACAAACATAGGAGGTTTTCAGTAAGTAATTTCACAGCTTTAAGAGAAAAAACTAAGATTTTTGCGGAAGCCCCTTTTTTTTCCTCTCTCCAAGGCGAATATGATTACATGAGACGTTCACCTGAGATGGAACCAAAAACATAACAAATTTTAAAGAATATTTGTCAGAGAGAAGAAAACCTGATGTAATAGATCTGTCATCTGATCCAGGTTGTCACCAGGATATCAAACACTCGTCAAGAAAAGGGAAAAACCTGGAGTATACCTAAAAAGAAGGTTCGGGAAGTCAAGCCCCCGGGGGGGACGTCTTGACCCGGAGGGGTACATACGGTGACTGGAACGTGCAGGACAATTTGCTCTGTATTTCATCCTACAGCCCTCTTCCTCCCTTTTTTACTCTCTTTTTCCTCTTCCCCCCTCCCCTCTTTCACTCTCTTCTTCCCCTTCCTCCCCCTCGTCTTTTCTCCCCCTTAACTCTAACCTTCCTCATTTTTATAAGCACAAAAGGACACTAAAACTTGTATGGGAGGTGGGCGTGGCGCCCAACCCCCACCCACGTGGGGGGGGACGCAATGTATGGAAAAAACATCCTTACACCCTCAAGGGAAACAAATAAAACACCAGGGAAATACCCCTTAAAGAGACTAAATCCGTTCACTTCTTTAAAAAACTATTTTTTTCTCGTAAGACACGACGCACGCCCCACACAAACCCCCACACAACACCACGCACACATACACACACACACACACACACACACACCGCCCCAAAAAAGTATTTAAAAAAGTGAACTCAATATAATTCGGTTACCACACCGACGTTTAAGAACTTTACAAAGGCAATACAGATTTAAAAAAAGCACTCACTACCATGAAAAGAAATTTCGAGTTAAACACGGGGAGGGGGAAAAAAGGTCAATAAAACCCCAAGACTTAGACAGAGGGAACTAAGGTGTCTCGGCAACATATATGAGTATGGTGATGGAGATGATGGGAAATATTGTATGGAGAGAGACAGGGCCATACACTGCAACATTTGGAGAGACAGGGCCATACACTGCAACATTTGGAGAGACAGGGCCATACACTGCAACATTTGGAGAGACAGGGCCATACACTGCAACATTGGAGAGGCAGGGGCCCTACCTGCAACATTTGGAAGACAGGCCATACCACTCAACATTTGGGGAGGCAGGGCCCAACACTGCAATATCTGGGGAGACAGGGCCATACACCAACTTTGGGAGCCCGGGCCAAACACTGCAACTTTGAAGACAGGGCCATCCGCACATTTTTAGAGACAGGGCCCTACACTCAACATTTGGAGACAGGGGCCCTACACGCAATACTGGAAACAGGGCCCTACACTGCAACATTTGGAGAGACAGGCCAACACGCAACATTTTGGAGAGACAGGGCCCAAAACGCAGCATTTGGGGAAAACAGGGCCCTACAGAACATTTTTAGAACAGGGGGCCCTACACTGCAACATTTTGGGGAACAGGGCCATACACTGCAACATTTTTGGGGAGACAGGGGCCCAAAACTGCAACATTTGGAGAGAAAGGGCCATCCTGCAATATCAAGACAGGGCCAACACGGGCCCTTTTAGAGACAGGGCCAACACTGCCATTTGGAGAGACAGGGCCATACACTGCCATTTTTAGAGAAGGGCCATACACGCAACATTTGGGGAAACAGGGCCCAAAACTGCAACATTTTTGGGAGGGAGGGGCCCAAAAACTGCAACAATTTTGGGAGAAGGCCATACACGCAACATCTGGGAGAAGGGCCATACACTGTAAAATCCGGCCATTTAGAACCTCAAACAAGGGGAATCACTCCATTGTTAATGATGTCGAAATGACCCGAAATAGTAAATTCACAGCTGCGCGAATCACGGAAGGGGTTTTGGGGAGGATGAAGCCGGAAGGATCCCAATTTAAAACCCCAGGCTAATTGTTTTCTTGAAATCGTTCTCTTATTGGGTGATTACCTTTTGGGTTTGAAATAGTGAAAATGAAACTGTCCCGGGGTTTGACAAAGACCCTTTTTTGACCTCTGAACCTGTTTTTTTTTTTTTTTTTTTTTTTTTTTTTTTTTTTTGTTTTGGAGTTACCACTCACAGGATGAGCTGCGGGTGTACAATAAACTAGCAGCTCAGGCGGCACTGAGGTGAGGATCAGTCATACGATGGCCTGCTAAATGGAACTTTTTGGTCATGTGATCGAGGTCCTTGCCCTGGCTCCGCGGTGCACCCAGGGAAAGAAAGCTAAACTGCGTCATTCGATGTGTTTTTATACGCCTTGTATATGGATGGATCGAGAAGACAAACTTTATAAAAAATAAATTGGTCTCTCCGACACTGATTTTTAAAATTATTCCATTTTAGTTCACGCTAAAAAAACTGTAAGAACTACAATATATATATATATATATATATATATATTATATATATATAATATATATATATATATATTATTATGTATATATATATAATATATATATATATATATATATATATATATAAATATATATATATATAATATAATATATATATATATATATATATATATATATATATATATATATATATATATATATATATATAATATATATAATATTATATATATATATATATATATAATATATAATATATATATATATATATTCTTTTCTCTGAGGATGAGGGTCCCCATGACAGTTCTAGAGGTGGTACCTCCCTATATTATATATATATATAATATATATAATATATATATATATATATATAATAAATATATATATATAAATATATATATATATATATATATATATATATATATATATATATATATATAATAAGTGTGTGTGTGTGATTGAGAGAGCAAGAGAGGGAGACAGACAGACAAAGACAAAGACAGACAGACAGACAGATGCACTTTTATTGAGAATTTTCTTTTGAGGAATACGTTGCTTTTATCGTGAATAATGCGAATTTTAAATAATAGATGGCTCTTAGTACGATATACAGAAGAGTAATCACCAGCTGGGTTAAGGGACTATAAAGTAGCGAACGTCAGTAGTATTATTATCACGTATTCGCTTGCATTCACCTAAAACCGCTCACCTGTAAAACAAGCAACATAATTTAAAACAAAATTAATAAAACAATATGGTTTTGCAAGCAGTTACTACAGACAGCAGCAGGTGGAGTGGAGTGTCGTGTTGGAACACTGTATATTACAGACCTAACGAATTTAGTGGAGGTTCTGAGGTGAGCCGAGGCTAGTCCACACCGCCTCGCTATCTCCCAAACTTTCCTTCATTCTTGAAAAGCCGAGTTAAGGAACGCTGTGTGACCCGGGAAGAGCAGAGCGTCTTTCCTGGCCTTCACTGCGTCGCCGCCCTCGTACCGTCAGGTGGCGTAAGTCTGTGTAGCAGCGACTCCTGGTGAGTCTAGCAGATAGAGTCTGGCGGAGGTACCTGCATTTTGTCCAGGTGTTGAGATGTAGCCTCACAGTCTCGGTGTCTTGGACACATGGACAGGTACAACAGGGAAGACGTGATATCTTGCGTAATTTACTGTTGTTTGCAATTTATTTCTCAAGTTTCAATGCTGCAATAAGGCAAATGAACTGAAATTGTGCGTGTAATCTTGTAGTATATATGAAACATTGCTGGAATTATAGTGCTCTTTGAACGCTAAGAAATCTTAAAAGGTAAGACGTTTTGGATAAGATGTTTGAGATTTTCACTGCGACTCACTGAGGAAGTTTACATCAGTGAAAATATATTTTGATGGTGTGGAAACGTGCTCGACGTGTTGAACAGCATGACAGCAACGCAGGGAGACTATCCAGCATTCTTAAGAGGCTAAGACGACCTCATCTAGTGCACCAAAGTGGTATGGATTATTACCGTCTCAGAGTGAACCAGTTCGAGGAGTCTGCTGTGCCTCTCTCCGCTACCTTCCTGGAGACTGACGGAGGGACGAGTGTTAGTGGGATCAGACCATCTTTCCTACAAGCTTAGCTGCCCACCATTTAACTGGTAAGTGACTCACGAAATCGTAATGACACAATTGCAAACAAACCATATCACTGGTGGGGATAGAACCCGCGATCAGAGAAACTCAAAACTGATCTCTGATCGTGGGTTCTATCCCCGCCCGTGGTATGGTTTGTTTAACTTGTAAGTGCCACTACGCTTCTCTTTCTTTAGCACTTCCAATTCTTTTATCTGCATTTTCTTCATGAATTACAGGGAGTCGAAGTGGAGGTAAGAAATTTCGACCCAGCCACCCAGTTGACTTATTGTGGTAACCTCAACAAGGAATTCCCAAAACCTCTCACATACTGGACTGGTAATGTTAGCAGAGGTCACCAACTGCAACTCGTTAGAAAACTTTAATAGGAAAGCTCGTCTTGCAACCGTGCTGTCATTGTTAGTGAATTTTTTTTCTTTTTCGAGTACTACCTTTTAGCGAAAATATTGTGGCTGGCAACACCTGTGCACAGATTAATACATTTAATAAGAAAACGTTTCGCTCCGTGAGGTTTCGCCAGTCGTTGTGGGTGTGGGAGGTGATGTTACATGAGAGGCGGGTATAGTGAAGATGACGGAAGTGACGCTCCGTGCGCAGTGTGACCATCGAAAAACTGTACTGCGCAGTGACCATCGAACACTGTACTGCGCAGTGTGACCATCGTAACACTGTACTGCGCAGTGTGACCATCGCAACACTGTACTGCGCAGTGTGACCATCGTAACACTGTACTGCGCAGTGTGACCATCGTAACACTGTACTGCGCAGTATGACCATCGAAACACTGTACTGCGCAGTGTGACCATCGAAACACTGTACTGCGCAGTGTGACCATCGTAACACTGTACTGCGCAGTGTGACCATCGTAACACTGTACTGCGCAGTGTGACCATCGAAACATTGTACTGCGCAGTGTGATCATCGAAACACTGTACTGCGCAGTGTGACCATCGTAACATTGTACTGCGCAGTGTGACCATCGAAACACTGTACTGCGCAGTGTGACCATCGTAACACTGTACTGCGCAGTGTGACCATCGTAACATTGTACTGCGCACTGTGACCATCGAAACATTGTACTGCGCAGTGTGACCATCGTAACACTGTACTGCGCAGTGTGACCATCGTAACACTGTACTGCGCAGTGTGACCATCGTAACATTGTACTGCGCAGTGTGACCATCGAAACATTGTACTGCGCAGTGTGACCATCGTAACACTGTACTGCGCAGTGTGACCTTCGAAGCATTGTACTGCGCAGTGTGACCTTCGAAGCATTGTACTGCGCAGTGTGACCTTCGAAGCATTGTACTGCGCAGTGTGACCATCGAAGCATTGTACTGCGCAGTGTGACCTTCGAAGCATTGTACTGCGCAGTGTGACCTTCGAAGCATAGTACTGCGCAGTGTGACCACCGAAGCATTGTACTGCGCAGTGTGACCTTCGAAGCATTGTACTGCGCAGTGTGACCATCGAAGCATTGTACTGCGCAGTGTGACCTTCGAAGCATTGTACTGCGCAGTGTGACCTTCGAAGCATTGTACTGCGCAGTGTGACCTTCGAAGCATTGTACTGCGCAGTGGGACCATCGAAGCATTGTACTGCGCAGTGTGACCACCGAAGCATTGTACTGCGCAGTGTGACCTTCGAAGCATTGTACTGCGCAGTGTGACCATCGAAGCACTATACTGCGCAGTGTGACCTTCGAAGCATTGTACTGCGCAATGGGACCATAGTACAGGATTGGGGTTGAGATATGAGGCTGGAAAGCAGATTTCAAGAGCAATTATCTCCGGGTTTAGCGCTTCCCCCTTGATTATAATAATAATATGTGGATAATATGTGGTCTCACCTGCCTTCGTAATATGTTGATTACTGTGTTTGCGTATTGTGAGAGCAGAATCTAGGCTCTCTCTCATTAGTAACTGTACTGTGAACTATGTATGAATTTAGTGAACTGGCAGCTATCACACACACACACACACAGACACACACACACACACACACACATACACACACACACAAAATACAAACACACACACACACACACACACACACACACACACACACACACACACACACACACACACACACACACACAAACACAAACACAAACACACACACACACACACACACACACACACACACAAACACAAACACACAAGCACGTCAAGAAGTTAGAGAAAGTACAAAAGATTGCAACAAGGCTAGTTCCAGAGCTCAGGGGGATGTCCTACGATGAAAGGTTGAGGGAAATCGGACTGACGACATTGGAGGACAGAAGGGTCAGGGGAGACATGATAACGACATACAAAATACTGCGTGAAATAGATAAGGTGGACAGAAACAGGATGTTCCAGAGATGGGACACAGAAACAAGGGGTCACAATTAGAAGCTGAAGACTCGGACGAGTCACAGGGACGTTAGGAAGTATTTCTTCAATCATAGAGTCGTCAGGAAGTGGAATAGCCTAGCAAGTGACGTAGTGGAGGCAGGAACCATACATAGCTTTAAGACGAGTTATGACAAAGCTCATGAAGCGCGAGAGAGAGAGAGAAAGAGAGAGAGAGAGGACCTAGTAGCGATCAGTGAAGAGACGGGGCCAGGAGCTGAGTCGCGACCCCTGCAACCACAATTATGTGAGTAAAATTAGGTGAGTGCACACACACACACACACACACACAAGTGGAATAGTCTGGGAAGCGATGTAATGGAAGCAGGAACCATGGTTTTAAGACGAGGTATGATAAAGCTCATGGAGCAGGGCGAGAGAGGACCTAATAGCGATCAGTGAAGAGGCGGGGCAAGGAGCTATTTCTCGACCCCTGCAACCACAAATAGGTGAGTATACACACACACACACACACACACACACACACACACACCAAAGTTATTTAAAGAATAAACAGAACTAAATTATCTTCTCTGGGATATGTTTGGGATTTTATTGGAATAAGGTAAGCTGGTGGACCGTATGTCTGTGTCACTAACAAGCTCTGTTAGTGACACAGACATACAGCGAACAGTTCACTTTTCATCAGCAAATTCATGCACATTACATCACGTCTGTTACTGTCTGCTGCTTCAGTCACTGCAGGTACTAAACACACCACGTAAAAACAAGTCAGTGAAACTGCGTTTTTTTCTGAAAATACCGCAGTACCCCTGAAAGGCCCAGGAATTCCATTTAACCCGTCATTCAGATGCCCGGGTAGCCTTGCCCACCAGTCTTTTACACACGCCTTCAGTAACCCAAAATTTCACAATGGCGTTACTGAGACAACTTGGAAGCAAGTACTCTTGTGGTAATGGAACTCTGACCTCCCAGAGTGTCCTGTACACACACTGCCAAGCACCTTCATATGTTATAAATATACGAATATGTTATAAAGATACGAAACAATTGCATCACCTATAATGTATAATTTCAATAAAGATAATAACACACCAGTAACGATGAAAAAGAGATTTAGAAAATTATGCACAGCTGCCTGCGAGGAGGAGTCAGTATGTATTGTTAGTTTCTATACTTCGAAGTGTTGCTTACGTGCGTCAGGTCTTGCAGAAGGTTTACTGCGGCCCTCCTCATTAAGGTGCATTTTTCACACACACACTTTACCTCCTCCAAACAGCGCCACCCTCGCTAATTGAACAAACGCCGCGAAATAACAGCAGACTGTTTACATTCGATGTTCTGACGCAAGTGTAGTAGGTTGAGAGGCAGCCCTGGTCTTCTCTCCGTACTCGTATATAGTATATTATATATACACAGTCTTGTGTTTGGGACTCAAAGTTCAGGGCTTAGCAAGGCTCCCTGAGCCACAGGTATGTGGCTCTGCGTTGTTCATCCAGTTGCTCGCTATGATTAAATAGTGTGGAAATTTATTAATAATTGTTAAATTAATTAAAAAACAGTGAAAATTATTTTAAGGTTCGATATTACATGAATTATCTGAAGTTTACTCTTTGGCTGCTCCTCTTATAAGACTCACCTTCAATAATGACTACACCGCTGAAATTGGTCAATCACATCAACCATGACTTTTTCTTTTCACATTAACACTAACTTTCTTCAATTCTTTCCCCTTAATTAAAGAATCAGGAATAACGAAGAGAGACCATGGGTTTAATTAAGAATGCGGAGAGGCCAACTGGAGGAGCATGAAGGCTCGTAATGAAAATGTATAGAGTAACTGAAAACACAGATAACCTAGAGACAAGCAGGAGACCTAGAAAATGAAATAACATCAAGGGCCAAAAGTGAACGAAAGTTACTCCACAGCCATATAAAGAGAAAGACGACAGTGCCGGAACAAGCGATAATGCTGATGAGGGAGGAAGGGACTCTGTTGAAGAATGGCAGAGAAGTATGTGAAGTGCTTAGCAAAGGCTTCGAAAAAGTGTTAACAGAAGTAAGTGGAGAACTATGGAAAGACAGCGTAGTCTGAACAGACCAAGATGTACCAGAGAGTATCAACACAACGAAAGAAGTGACGAGGCTACTACATGAGCCGGATATAACAATGAATGCTGACAGGAGATGCCCAACAGGTATATGACCCAGTAGAAAAGACATTCAACCAGTCTCGCCAATCAGCACAGCTGCCAGAAAATTGGAAAAGGGCAAAAGTGGTCCCAGATAAAAAAAAAAAAAAATAGGCAGACAACAAGCCCTGAATCAGAGGCCAGCATCAACATGCATACTGTCAAAGGTTTTGGAGAGTGAAACAAAGTACAGGGTGTTAGGACACTTGAAAACAAGATTTTTTAATGATGCATTTATGGTATGAAAATTTGGTCTAATAAATTTACGGAATTCTACGACAAAGTCACAGAGATAAAATAAGAAAGACCGGGTTGGGTGGACTGCATTTTCTTGGATTGTATAAAAGCATTTGATACAGTATAACACAAGAGATTAGTCTAGAAATTGCAAGAACGAGCAAGGTAAAAAAAACACAGTGGATTAAAGAGTATATAGACGAGAGAAAGCAAAGAATAAAA